CCGAAATCACGCATCTTTTAGCCGTTAATGCGCTCTTTTCGAGTTTTTGATGCGATTTCATTTGGCTAAGCAATATAAACGTGGAAAATGTCTCATTTTGTAGCGAAATGAACGTTCTATCTAATGGTATGTTTAAAGAAATTTTTGGTGTACGTTGCAGTTGGTAGGTCTTCTGAAAATTTCAAAGACCTATATCTCAGAAACCGGAGGTAAAGTATTGGGATCTTAGTTGATTCATGTGTTTCAAAATGTGTAGAGTCCGAAAATGTGCATTAGGGTCAACAAAAATAGGAAAACGTAGTTAAAAATAGCTTGGAGACCATCAAAAACAAACAGATGCCGTAATGCTTGTGAAATGGCTCTCAGCAGACTTATAGGAGCAATGTGGGCAATTAAAAACTACATTTCTAGATAGAACTAACGGCGAGGAATCTGACACACATATTACTTTTGAGTTTGAAGATTTGATGGTGAAAAACGCATCTCAATACGGTGAACTATCATGATTTTGATCAACTTAGGACAAGTGCAGTAGAGCAGTGAAGCATTTTGAAATGTTTTTAAATGAGCCATTTTATTCCTTGTTGTCTCTAGTCTATATCCTAAAGCTTTCAGGTTTGTCGCTTTTGTCATTTCTGAGAATAATTAGCTATGAATTGCGTCTTGAAACCTATAAAATACCCAAATGTCGGACTACTGTATTCCAGTGGCCATTAGAAGTCCAGAAACGAAATTTTTACCATAAATAAAGCTTCATTTTAGTAAAAAGAAACATTCTCATCTCTCTTGGAGCAGAAGTTATTAACACTTTATAGGAAAAAAATATCTGTGGAACCATCCAATCAAAGAGGCTCAAACTTGTTGGATGATCTGCAGTCAGTGAGACATATGACCACATAAAACTAGTAGTCACCAACTATCATGGGTTTTGGGTTACATGAGTGATTACCTGCTTTAGTGGAGTGCTGTAGTTCACACGTTTCTCGCTAATTTATAATCTGTACCGGTTTAATTTTGATTTGAAATTTTAGGCCCTCATCAACAAAGTAAGTTTTTCTTCTCAGACACAGTTAATTATTGGATTGTGCCTTTAGTTTTTATTTGATAACTGCTTTAAAAAGTGTTCATCGTTGTATCAATTTGCTTGTGTAATGAAGTAGTAGAGTGAGTGAGCCAGGAATGAACATGGAAATTCATTTTTTGATTGAGAACAACATATTGGTTTTTTCAAAAATCAAAAAGTTTTTGGTTGTTTTATCGCGCAAAATGTTAGATCAAACTATAAGTGAAACGGTTTTAATTTAGTCTAATCGTGCCTTCGTCACTAACATAATCTCAGATTTAAACTATTGAACATCCTTGAGATATATTGTTGTAGTATTAACAATTGAAAATGCATTTATTTGTATGTTTTTTCGCTCGTTTGTTGCTGATGCACACGTTTACACCTGAAAATATTGTGTTGAAGAATATAATAATCATTCATTTTATTCAGATGTTGGTGAATATGAAGATCGTCGATATAGTGGTATTGATTATCCATCTCAATCTGAAATATCTCGATCATATTTGTCATCCTCGACGCCATTATACCAAAATGCTTATGGTTTAAGTCGTAGCGTTACGTTATCAGACCGCAATAAACATGATGAACGAAGAACGTCAGCGGAATATAGACAAAATTTCGCAACAATAGCGCATAAACGTGAGATGGATATGGAGGAACAACAACAAGATCAGTATCCGAAAGATCAACCTCATCAACGACGACTAAGTAACGGTTCAGATCGAGGACAACAAGAAGGGTAAATGATATTGCGATGAATAATAGCATTCATCGAATATTGTTATGATTTTCTTTTTAGTGTAAATCGTGATATTCTCTCTCATAAACGACCATATGCCCCTACAACAATCTCTGATATTCATCTAAATGATATTATTAAATTCTCTAGACCGGGTGGAAAAATCAGTAAAGGTGTTGTGAGATATATCGGAAGCTTACCAGGAAAAAATGATCAATACCTTGGACTGGAATTAGAAGATGAAGGTATGTTTAAAATTAATATATTTCTTTTGCTTGTGATGACTGTTATGATTATATTTACGCTTCTTTTGTTCTAGAAAGTAAACATGATGGAGTTTATCAAGGTCAGCGATTATTTCAGTGGTATGTTATGTATTATTTCTTACTTTTTCGACTTATTTGTGTGTCAACTGATACCAACAGACAAGTATAATTGTTGGAAGGAAACGCAATATCCTCATTCTTTCATATCTCTAATCTAATAATAAAATGTTCTGCTTTTTTTCTTTTAGTAAAACAAATAAAGGTGTATTTGTCGGCTTCAGTAAAGTTATTATGGCATGGGGAAGTCGATGATTAGAATCTTACTTTTTGAATCTTAAACAATGTGCCTTAATATATAATTTTAACAAAAGTTTGTTGCAAATTCTATCATTTTATTATTCTCTGTCTCTTGATGTGTGTTCAATTTTTGGGAATAGTGTATATAAAAACTAAGAACAGTAGTAAGAAAATGTTTGCCACTTGGACTTTGAATAAAAACGTTTTCAATTTTTTATTTTTTGTTAATATTTATATGGGTAAATATTTTTATATACCCTAAATAGATCTGATAGATAAAATGAACAAGAATGCTCATTGTGTTTTTTTTCTGTATAAACATATAATGTAAACATGATTTTTATTATTGTAAAACAGATTTTTCAACGACGTTTGCTCATGTGTTTTGTTGATAAAGCATATGGGTAGTTTTTAACTAATTGTGTTCTTTTCTTTCTCTTTAGCTTATGTATGGGTTTCTCTATCAACTGTTAGTCATCTATTTCTAATAAATAAAACGATTCAAACAAACATCGCAAAAAATAGAATATTTAACGAAATTTTGTTTATTTTTTAACCAGAAATCTTTCAGAACGACTACTAAAAAACAGTAGTATCCAGTTCTACAATTCCTAGAACTGGCAGAACTTGACATATTCAAACACATACTATTATTAAAACTCTGGTCGATTCCAATTTTAGTTCTAGCAGAATCTGACCAGAATCTGCCAATTCGTACGGAAGAAATGAAAGTGCATATCATGTACTAACATTGAGTTGTTCCCTACGAATTGGCAGATTCTGGTCAGATTCTACTAGAATTCTGCCAGATTCCAGTCAGATTCTGGTAAAGGTAGAATTGGAATTCTGCCAGAATTCAACTAGAATCTAGGAAAACTCCAGCAGAATTGAGTAGACTTTATTCTGACTAGAGTTGCAATTCTACCAGTATGTAAGTAGGGGAAGGGGAACGCTGCAGTGTGAGAGTGAGTGAATTCTTTTCTTTGTTGTACCGTATTGAGCAGTTCAAGATGGATGGTATATTTCGTATCAGACATTGGAGCTTCGTGGTCTATAACACGTCACATATAGATGTTTTAATAGAGCATTTTTAGGTGTACGATAAATCGCACCGAACATTTTATGATACCGGAGAGTAGTTTATTCAACATGAAACGTCTACTTTAAATTATGTCATATGTATAATCCTACTAACTTCACTTCACGGACTCGAATAAGTGTTTTCTCTCCCAGCTTTAAGACTGTTAGTAAAAGATAAGTTGTGAATGGTGGGAAAATGATCTAATCTAACTGTTAATTATAATTATTATCTATTTTAATACTACTGATAGTTCATCACATAAAAAATCATAATTATTCATCATCGAATAAATGATGATCTTTCAATTTGATTATTTTTCAATATTAAAATGCTAATTAATTCCATCATATGAATAATGAAGATAAATGAAATACACTTATTGTTAAATCAGATAAACTTATTAATAGCAGTGACAAACAGGAGATAATTTCAATCATAAGAATTGTTTTAGCGTTTTAATTTTGTTAAATAATGGTGAGAAAAGGTCTTAATCATGATACGGCGATGAAAACGCCAGTGTTGAGATTTGGATACAAGGGGGGATGGAGAAAATCAACAAAGTGGAAATATATGACATAACGTTATAACTTAAGGTTCTCCTGTCAAAAATAGTCATATTTCATTAAAAATATCGATATTTTTTTAGATTTATACATGGTTGGACAGCCCATAGTAGGAAGCATTAATGTCCATTTATGAGCACGTTTAGAACTTGGAGAGAAAACGTCTCATTATGTTTTCACACATACTCATGATGTTGAAGACTGTTATTCTGGTCATATTTTTACTATTTACGACGATATAAAGACGGAAAATAATTGACATGTGGCAGAAAAACTTCGATAATTTACCCACAAATTCGATATTCCAAATTATTCAAAAGTTTCATTCTCTCACCTTCATGGCATGATTTACCGTTTTTTCCGATACAGTTCCCTCTTGAATGAAATGCTAGCATAATTCGTTCTACTTCCTAGTATCAGACAAATAAACTTGATATTCGCCATTCAGAAATGTGTAAAAATGTTCTAATTGCTCTAAGATGATGAAATTTGAACTTGTCGTTGTCTTCTGATTATAATAATAACTCTTCTGTGTAGTTAATAAACTATATAGTAGGAAAACATTCATGAACTTGTACCTAAACGACAAATTGAGTAAAGTTACCATTATTATTAAAATTTCCAAGTTTAAGACGTTTTATTTTCGTGATTTTTCTGATAAATCAAGTTCTTTGATGAGATCTACTGAGTGATAATGGTACCCGAGGAAGCGGTTTCAATCAATCTTGTAATAGGAAAAGATTCAACGAACAATCAGTATGAGAGGCGTTTAGATCACTTAATAAATGATAATTGTAATTTCGAAAGTAAAAACATTCTATCATTGGAGTAAAGGTTTGTGACTAAAAAATAGAGAAAACTAAAGTTCTAAGACATTTTTTGGAAAAACAAAAATTTAGAAATAATGATTAATTTATATTTAAAGTTTTTTTATTTAAAAAGTCAAATGCTAGTAGTTAACAATTATTAAAGTTTTTTTCAGAACTATAACTTTCATTCTTAGTAGACACAACATGTTCATTCAATGTATTTTGTGCAATAATCTCCAATTTCATGGCAAATAAATGACATAAAATGTATAATAACTATTCTGTAACAAAGCAAATATAACTTAGTATCTCGCATAATGCACAACAGACCGTTCATATAATAATCAATTTGTATATTCATTTTCAAAATATTCAAGTGTTGCTCGATATCCATTGTGTATTGTTGATAGAGGTGGTCTAATTAATGGATTTCCATCGAGTGAATGTTCTAAAAAAAATTTTGTTGATGATGATGTATGCCACCAATCGAGATGAGTTAAATTAATTATAGTTTTTGGTAATTGTGATAAATTATTTTCACCTAACCACAATGTTTCTAAATAAGTTAAATTTCCAATTGTCATTGGTAATGTTTTAAGTTGATTTTGATGTAAACTTAAATAACGTAATTGTTTCAATGTTCCAATATCATCTTGAAGAAATGTTATAAAATTTTTTGTTAAATCAAGAAATTTTAATTCACACATGCTATAGATACATATAGGAACTTGTTTAAAGAGATTATTTGATAAATGTAAACTATTTAATCGATTTAAAGCGTTAAATTCATTTGGTAATGTTTCTAAAAGATTATTACTTAGTATTAATACTTGTAAACATAATAATTGACCAATATCAGATGGAACAGATGTTAAATTATTTGTATCTAATATGAGAATACGTAAGCTGGTAAATTTAAGAATGTTTACTGGTACTTGTTTTAACACATATGTCAATGATGTTTCATTATCGGGTGATAATTCAATTATTTCTAAATCATATGGTACATTGTCTAATTCATCATTCAATTTGGATATTAAATGGCTTTTAACTGTCAAACGTTTTCCATTCCATTGTTTATCATAAGTAATTGTTCGATAAAGATTAAGAGTTGTTCGAGGTGATGATATTCTTTGTAATTTCTCGTTTTTTCTCGACGATAGCATTCTGTGAATTGTGTGTTATTGACTTGAAATTGATTTATACAACTTTTTATTTTTTCTATTCTGTTTGAACAATCTCGTATTGATTTATACCACGTATTGTAAATATTTGATGATTTAGAATTAATTAATAATTTATTTATTACATACAACTACACGTATGCAAATTGTTTTTTGCTTTTTTTTTAAATGAAAAAATGAAAAATAAGGAACGGAGATGACATTTTTTCTGTACGTGATAAAAAGATGATTACTAATTCTTCCAGAATATTGTTCGACTGAAAATCCTGTTATTCTTGCTTCAACAAAAATTGGGTTATCTACTATAAAAGGAACAGAAAGAAAAAATCTTGTATGATCTTTAGTATAGATGGCGTGATAGTTTTAATGGGAATACTATTTTCTCCTGTGATTTGAAAAACGTATGTCCTGTCATTTTTTTAAATACTTTTAATGCTTGTCTTAATAGAACAAGGATATTCTAGGCAACGGAATTAGGATGAAAAAGAAAACAGTTCAGAATTCTTAGTTCAAAGCACTGAAAGAGGATGATCTTATTAATTTATTGTTTGCTGTTTGCCTATCTGTTAGAATAGTAAATTATTACGTATATATTTGATATTGTAAGCAAAAAATGGTCAAATGTATATGATATATCCGAAGAGTAGGACGATACGAGATTTTTTCGGTCTACCACCGTTGTCTAGCTTGTGGTTGAATATTACAGGATGGAAATTTCTAATATGCAGCCCATCAGTATGTATATTTGTATCAGAGATGAACGAGCTCGATTACGGACTCGAGAAAATTCTGACTAAACTCGGACGGTATTCGGTTTTAGACATGAAAAGTTATTTTCAATATCCTTTTATTTTGTTTAATGCTATTGAGTATATTAGAGCAGGAAGAAAATAGAGCAATGTAATATGAAGTGCCAGTCGTCACTAGAATCAGAACATGCCGAGAAATCAAGCACGATAGAGTTTTACAAGAGAGTCAGAAAAATTAAATATTCCAGTATCAAAAACCATAAATAAAGTTAAAGAAAAATAGCGGACTTACATTTTAACTGATTCGGACTGGATTTTGACTCGGAAATGACCGGGCTCGCCCATCTCTGATTTTTACTCGGCTCACTTCGAAATCTAGGTACTTTATTTTCTCATATAAGATGATGGAGTTTCGGTTTCATATTGCAAATCTGCAACGGCAGCTATTGTCTGATCATCGTTTTGTGAACTGACTCAGTCTTTTTTTCCTGCAAAAATTATTTTTTCTCAAATTTAAGCCCTGGGGCAGAAGTACCAGACAATCAACAAAGTGCACTAGATAAGTTTTAATTTGGTTGGGTGTAGAAAACTGGGGGATTCAGGCTAAATTTTTTCGATGCCGGCTTTTTGTTTAAAAATGTGTTGTCTGATACATAGTTCGATGCAGTTTTTGGCACTTGGTCTAAATATTACCTTGGTTTTGAATTAAAGTGCTTCTGAAATAAAAAAATTTGATTTTACGTGAAAAATCAGCGGGTTTTGAGAAATCCATTGTACGACGCATTCTTATGCACATTTCACAGATGCAATACACATAGAAGAACATTTATACAAAGTTCGAGCAAGAGTGAAGGCGGGCTAAAGGGTGCGTGCTCATTGCACTGACTACCTCTGTTTCGGAAATATTTCTTAATGTGAAAAATATTTTTTTCTATCCTAGCTGAGACTGAATCTGGATAATGTTTCGGTTATTAGACCAAGAAATTGTTGTTGGTTTTGTTTTTTGATCTTTAGAATAAGTGAACTGGCAAAAAAATTATTTTTCGCTGTTTTGCCCGATTTTTCAGCAAAACTTTTTAGTTCGGGTTTTCCCACTATTCCAGTAAATATAAAAGAAAAGGGAAATATTCTAGGAAATTATAGCTATTATATCCATCTAAATGATTCGCGGATACTTGAGAAATGAAAGTCGGCTTTTTTTCTAGATGCCTGCACCCGTACACGAAAATCAATAGGAAAAACCGGTCGAAAATATGGGTCACACTGGTTCATTTTCAAGCAAAAAAATCAATCAAAACCGACGGTTTGCAACACAATAACCGGACTCTCGTATAACAACCGCGGGTGCATTTTCGATATTATTTTTGCATCGTTGGGGTATAGCAACGGTTCACGATGGTTATATTTTGGTGAAAACCGCAAAGATCTGCGTGTGTGCTGAATTGGCTAGAATCGCCCTTTTCGATTTACTCGCAGATGAAGGCGGTTGGTTTTTGTATAAAACTGCAGTCCACAGTAGAGATGTGCAGGGTAACTGTTTACGGAGCCCTTGCCCTACCCTGTAAAAAGTTTTTGAGCCCTGGTCCTACCCTACCCTTTGAAAATTTGAGAATTTTTCATTTACAATTATTTCTTTATTTTTTTTCAATAAATTAATCATATTGATAAAAATTCTCTTTTAAAATTTCGAGACAAGTCACACAAAATAAACTATAGACCAATATCTCTCTTGAGTTCGATATCTAAAGTTCTAGAAAAGGTTGTATATTACCGTCTAGAAAAATTTGTTAGGAACTTTATTACTACGAAACAATCTGGCTTTAAGAAAGGAGATATTACTATTAATCAGCTTACCTCAATTACACATCATCTATACTTAGCGTTAGACAGAGGTCATTCTATAAGAGGCGTTTTCTTCGACATAACGAAAACGTTTGACAGAGTATGGCACGATGGTTTGCTACTGAAATTAGAGCAGTTAGGGATTGAAGGTTCCTTACTTGAATGGTTTCGATCGTACCTATCAAACAGGATGCAATACGTTCGTGTCGAGGGACACACCTCGCCCTACGGAATGGTTGAATCAGGAGTGCCCCAGGGATCAATCTTGGGACCGCTTCTTTTTCTCATTTATATCAGTGACATCGCTAATCTGGACTTAAAAAGCATGTTATATCTATATGCGGATGACACATCTATTTTTCATACAGTGACAGCAAACGACTCTGCATCTTCCAATCCAAGATGACTTGGATAAATTAAATGACTGGACAAACAAATGGTTAGTCACTTTCAGCACACAGAAAACAGAAGAAATAACCTTTTCATCTATTGGGCGGAATGCAACGTTTTATCCACTTTCCTTAAACAGTAACACGCTAAAACAAGTGACAGAGCATAAACATCTAGGACTCGTTTTGGATCAGCACTTAACTTGGAACGAACAAATAGACTACGTAATTAACAAAC